ATGGAATTTTGTTTGCCTAGGGCTTATGAATTTTGTAGTTTTTGATTTATAAACATAGGTTTTTAATATAATTTTTTAAGCACCAAATTCAGCTTTAAGCTATTTAACTTAAGCAAATTTTTTAAGTAAGTGTGGAAACCTGTGACTTTATTGTGTCTGTACCTAGTAATTAGCGTTTTCATTAATGATACTTTTATCGGCAAAATTGCTGTATAATGCTTTTGACTAAAAAAAAGAACTACTCATGTTTACATGTTATTTTCAACATTGCATGAGTCATCTATCTGTAAGGTAAAATTATTTGTAACCTTTTCTTGTAAAGTCAGCCAGTCAATAAATACAAAATGGAAATGGGGGCTAAGGATCACAGTGTTAGTTTTATATTCAGTTTTATCTTTGCCTTTTTAGTTGAGTATTAAATCTTGAGTCATAAAGGTATGCAGTAGTACATTCATTTGGACAGTTTTACATGAGTCAACATGCAGAGCCTAAAGTAACTTTTTTTGAAAGTACAGAGCTGTAGTCTTCCTGATTAATGGTACATTATATGATGTTCGTATTCATTGAGGTGACGAGAAGCTTTATTTGAAATCTTTACAAAAATATGTTAACCTTGGAATACCATGTAACACATTGGTGGTTTCCAGTTGTTGACTTGTATATACCATTGAGATGTAGGTTTTTGTTTTTGTTTTTTGAGACCGAGTCTTGCTCTGTCACCCAGGCTGGAGTGCAGTGGTGTGATCACGGCTCACTGCATCCTCTGCCTCCCAAGTTCAAGCGATTCTCCTGCTCAGCCTCCCGAGTAGCTGGGATTACAGGTGCCTGCCACCATGCCTGTCTGATTTTTGTACTTTTAGTAGAGATGGGGTTTCACCATGTTGGCCAGGCTGGTCTTGAACTCCTGACCTTAGATGATCTGTGTGCCTCCACCTTTCAAAGTGCTTGGGATTATAGGCTTGAGCCACCAAGCTGGGCAGGTTTTTTTTTTTTTTTAAATTAAGTTTGAGTTTTCTGTTTAAAAAATGAAGTTTGAGGCAAACATTCATGCAATCCATAAATGGTGAATTTTACATATTTTTCTGTGGAGCATTGCAATTCCACGGAAGACATTTGGAAAGTATTTTGTTGTACTTATGTGGTCTAAATGGCATCCAGAGCTGGGTATGAATTGCTTCCCAAACTGATATGGATCACAGAAACAGCAGGATGACATACTGGCTCCCAGAGGTAACTGAAGGGACTCTTTTGTATCGTGGTTGTCTCATTACTATAAATGTTTCTTATATAATTGCTTGTTTCTTAGAAATTGACCATGACACATACTCAGGAGTAGTAGCTTAACTTCCCTTGATCTCTTCTGTTAAAACTTGGTTTTGATAATGTTCTTGAGCTTTATTTGAAGACATGCTCCTTTTCCGTTTAATAATTACAGGTTTTCAAAATAGTGCCATGTGAATGAAAATTTTCGAATCAACAAAATTATATTTTTGCCTTCTTTTGGTAAAATACCATCATGTATATAATGATATCCTGTGATAGTATAATTCTGTAACATTTACAATATTTTCAATTCGGTACAGGGCAGATCATGTTTCTGTCATGATATAAGGTAATTCATACAGTTTAAATCAAGATTATAAAACTAGAAAGGACAGACCAAATATTTTAACCTAGATTTTTCTGGCTTTTAAGTCTCTCATTTGTTTTGCTTTAAATTATTGTCTGTCTTTGTACTATATTTTTCTGTACTATTTTTCTTTAGTAACTCTCCAACTTGAAATCAGTTGAAGCTTTCTTTTATAGCATACTTTCTAGTACCTTACCCGTTCTAATTTTAAATATCTCTTGAGGATGAAAGCTTTTGTCATTTCCTAAGGAGACTAAAGAGCAATCTGATAGATCTTGCTGTCAGGAAGTTTTTCCTGATCTTTAGCTCAAACTTTTCTTTTAAGTTGTCCTGTTACTTGTATGTACTTGCTGTACCAGGCTAAACAATGCTCTCCTCCCATTTTATGTTTGTATGATTCTAAATGTTTCAGACAGTTATTCATTATCCTTTCCGGTCTCCTTCCCTTACTCTTTGCTTAGCCAAATTTTATGCTTTCCGTTGATCCATTGTCTAAAAATCAACTTGTTTCTCTTAATACTTTATTAGCTTTCTCTCAGTTGCTCTTCTAGTGCAAAAATGTGGGTAAAGAGATTCTCAAGGTCATTTTGATTCACTTTTTAGATAGTCATTAGAATGGATATGAGATGTGTCACAGTCAAATGAAACAAACAAATTTATACAAACACCAAATCAACTAATTAAGCAATTACTCATGTTATAAAAGGCTTTTTTACAAAGTGATTCTTTCAAATAAGAGTACTGTCAACAAATGTTATCAATTATATGACAAAAGGGTAGGGTATAGAAATAATGTTAGCCACTGTTGGTTGAAAATCATCTTGTTGCAATGTGATGAAATACATCAGGAAGTTGTTACTTTTTTTGGTGGTTTTTCAGTCCCTTATCTTAAATTTTAGGCCATTTCCCCCAATGTTTTGGTTTATTTTTACCTTATTGTTTTGTCTCCTCTTATTTCCACATATTAGTGAAATAGCAATGCTTAGCAGTATTTTTTTTTTTTCAGCAAAATGGATGTTGTGAAAATTGAAATATTTTACTTTCTTGCTGTCGTATTTACAAGAATTGTTAATAATGACAAGACACAATAACAGCAAATGCATATTATTATAAAATCTATAAGACTGGAGACCTTTTGAATATTTTATTAGACCTTTTTCTTTGGTACTAATTTAGTTTCAGATTATTGAAATAGATTGTCCTTGTTTTGTATTTTGCTAATATTAATATTTTCTATTTTGGTAATTTTAAAATTTGCAAACATGCCAATTTAGAGCATTTTACTTTTTCAACTTAGAATATCTGGAAGGATCAAGATAGTATATAGGAAAAACAGTTGTAAGGCACCCTCTAACTCCAAGAGAAGCCTATGAAGCTAGTGCCTGGTCAGAGGCTGTGCCTAAGTTGCGTGAGCATGTATTGTTGACTTTTAGTACAAGAAAAAATACGCTAACTTTACCTCTTGAGTTAGCATGCACCAGTGCAGTTTAGATTCATACCAAAACGGGATCTTTTACTAATTCAAATGCTGAGTCCTGGTTTTTGACATCATAGTCACATGACAGCCCTGGGTGGTGTCTCAGTGTCTACAGACAAGCAAATCTAATGGCCAGTGAAAAGTAAGTTTCCTGTCTTGGACTGCAAGTAACAATTCATGCAGAAATTGGAAATATCTAAGAAAGCCTGGTTTTAGTTAATACTTTTAATTAGCTACTTGTCACACTGCTTTTTCTTTTGGTGTTATGTAACACATTAGAGTCATTTAAAGATACTGCTCTGATACTACAGTTTTTGTCAGCTATTACGTATAAATGCTGATTATACATTCATATGCTCAAAAGATCAAAGAGGACTTTGTAGGTCTTTTGTGGATTCAAAAAAATGCAGATTATTTTGTTGTAGAAAAACTGGTCAAACATGGTGGCTCATGCCTGTAAATCCCAGCACTTTGGGAAGCTTAGGTGGGCAGATCACTTGAGGTCAGGAGTTCAAGACCAGCCTGGGCAACATGACAAAACCCTATGTCTACTAAAAATACAAAAATGAACTGGATCTGGTGGCACATGCCTGTAATCCCAGCTACTCGGGAGGCTGAGAAGGAGAATAATAGCTTGAACTTGGGAGTCAGAGGTAGTTAGCCAAGATCGCACCACTACACTCCTACCTGAATGACAGAGCAAGACTCGTTTCAAAAAAACAAAAAAAACTGGAGACTTCATCAGGATCTGAAGGAGTGATACCTGAAATTGATCTTGTAATGCGGAAAGTGGCCATATGTTGTCTAGAAGAGTAATAGATATCCCAAATACATTTAATACACAAGAAATCCTGTGAAAGCGCTTAGACATATCCTTCCAGATGGGTTATCTGCCTGTGTTCCAGACACAAGCTGATATGTTGTGGTTTGCCCAGTACAGTCTCTGTGGTTTACCCAGGGGAAGTGGTTCTTGTGGGTGAAGGGCTGATCTTTTCAGAGATTGTTGGTGGCCTATGCACTGTCAGCCTATTTCCTGTTTTATTGGCTGTTTAGCAAGACCTTCTCAGGGCAAGTGCTGCTGAAGAGGTATTAAATATTTTATATTGGCAGGATAGATGGTTATAATGATGTATTATTATATCACTACCTCTCAGGTGATACAAGGGTTAAATTAAGGTGTGTGAAGTGTTTTGAGATCCTAAGATGAAAAGTGCAGACATGTTCTTAGTCATTTGCAGGTTACTGCTATGTTCAGATATTGCTCTCTTGAAGTAAAAACATGTTCATGTAATAAAGTGTTACTCTATTGAATTTGATTTCTGTAACCATTCAAGTGTTGTTTCATCACCACAAGAGTCATGATTAGAATTTCTCCCCTTTTTTCCCTTCTCTCAACACTCTTTTATAATTTTACCCTGTAAGAGTTACCTTGGCCAGGCGCAGCGGCTCACACCTGTAATCCCAGCACTTTGGGAGGCCGAGGCAGATGGATCATGAGATCAGGAGATTGAGACCATCCTGGCCAACATGGTGAAACCCCGTCTCTACTAAAAATACAAAAATTAGCTGGGCATGGTGGTGCATGCCTGTAATCCCAGCTACTCTGGAGGCTGAGGCAGGAGAATCACTTGAACCAGGGAGTCGGAGATTGTGGTGAGCCAAGATCGCGCCACTGTACTCCAGCACTCCAGCCTGGTGACCAAGCGAGAGTCCATCTCAAAAAAGTTACCTTAATAGATTCCTTGTCTCTAGCACTGGTTAAGTCATGTTTACAAAACTTAGCACCTAGCAAGCTTGTCCAACCTGCCTTATTTTGCTGCTATTTCTGTTTTGTTTTAGGCTTTCAGCAGCCTGAAGCCATGGTTTTTAGTTTCTGTCTCTGCTGATAAACAGAAAAAAGGGATGAGAAAGGGGCTTTACTGGCCCAATCAGAAACAGAAACTAAGAACCCATGACTGTATTCTCTCCCTTGGACACCCCTGACTAGAGCAAACTTCTTTGCCAATTTAACTGGCATACTAAAATAATGAAATTGTGAGAATTTCTTTTGAGATCAGTAGCTGTACCATCCATATACAAAATACTGTATTGCTTTGCTGAAGCCTGAAAGTGAGCAAACTGATAGAAATGCATGTGACATACTCTTAAATACATGTATATAGTGTTTAGCCTTGGACATTTAAAAAAAAATTAACAATGAATGGGGGCAGGGAGAGGCTTTATTTAAAGCTAAATTGTTAGCTAATACTTGAGTTCTTCCAGGGTAGAAGAATAGTTCTTACTCTTTTTTTTTTTTTTTTTTTTGAAAGGTTGCTTACGCTGGAGTGCAGTGGCACGATCTCAGCTCACTGCAACCTTCACCTCCCACGTTCAAGTGATTCTTCTGCATCAGCCTCCCAAGTAGCTGAGACTACAGGCACCTGCCAGGCACAGCTGATTTTTTGTGTTTTTAGTAGAGACGGGATTTCACCATGTTAGCCAGCATAGTCTCGATCTCCTGACCTCGTGATCCGCCTGCCTTGGCCTCTCAAAGTGCTGGGGTGAGCCACCATGCCCAGCCAAGTTCTTACTCATTTTTAAGGAATTCTCGGTTGCCTTGTTATATTTTTATATTTAATACTGAAAGGCAGAAAGAAGAAAAATATATGTCCCAAATGATCTGATTACCCAGATGCTGCTGCTCAGGTTAAACACACATGCATACATACCCAGAAAATTCAAATCATATATAATGGTATCAAAAAGTATTCCTACACACCTATTAGTTCTCATATCCTGTCCTCATAGGTAACAGTAAATTTTTTTTTATCTTTTGAAACACTTAAAAAATATACCAGCCTATAATTTTATTTTTTGCACCTACTCCATAACAAGTATATCTGTCAGCTTTCTTTTTCTTTTTTTTTTTTTAATTGCATTTTAGGTTTTGGGGTACATGTGAAGAACATGCAAGATTGTTGCATAGGTACACACATGGCAGTGTGATTCGCTGCCTTCCTCCCCTTCACCTATATCTGGCATTTCTCCCCATGCTATCTCTCCCTAACTCCCCCCCCCCCCCCTGCCCCCCCCCCCTTCCCCCCAACAGACCCCAGTGTGTAGTGCTCCCCTCCCTGTGTCCATGTGTTCTCATTGTTCAACACCCGCCTATGAGTGAGAACATGCGGTGTTTGATTTTCTGCTCTTGTGTCAGTTTGCTGAGAATGATGGTTTCCAGGTTCATCCATGTCCCTACAAAGGACACGAACTCATCATTTTTGATAGCTGCATAATATTCCATTGTGTATATGTGCCACATTTTCCCTGTCTAGTCTATCATCGATGGGCATTTGGGTTGGTTCCAGGTCTTTGCTATCTGTCATCTTTTGCTAGGTTATGCTGCTACAGCAACACTATCAAATGGCTAACAACACTGCTTTTCTTCTTGCTTATGTTACACATTGTATGCTGTGGATTGACTGCAACATTGCTTCACGTGTCTTATTTTGGAACCCTGGCTCAAGGAGCATCCCCTGTCTGGGATATGCCATTATTGTGGATGAGGGAAAGAGCAAGAAAACAGATGCAGACATACAGTGGCTTTTAAAGCTTTCACTCAGTCATAGTGTATATCACATCAGCTCACGTGTCAGTGGCCAAAGCAAGTCATATGGTCAGAGCTCACTGTCAGTGGGGTAGGGATGTATAGTCCTTCCACAGGTGGCATGGCAAGTTGCATGATTACAGATAAGGCTGTATAATCCTCTTAAGGAAAGTGGGGGTTAAATAATTTGGAATAATAATATAGTCTACGTCAATAAGCTCAATAAATGCTTGTTAAATGGGTTATTTGGAGTCTGATTTTTTTTTTTTTTTTTAGTGGGAAATTCAAACATATACAAAAGTACAGAGAATGGTATGATGTACCTCCATGTTCCCATCATTACTTCAGCAGTTACCAGTGTATGGACAATCTTGGTTTATCGGTTTTCTTTCCCCCCTTCTCACTGGATTTTTTTGAAGCAGTTTTTGGATACCATAATTTCACTTATAAGTATTTCACTAAGTATTTTTAAAAGACAAAATCTGAAAGTGTGACTTCTTATAGTAAATTCTTACTGTCTGATAGTTTGAGGTATTAGTACTACAGATTGACAGATGTCAAGCAGCAGAGCATGTTCATGGAATGTATCTAGAACTTGACAGCCAGAAGTTGTTTTGATTTCATTTTGAGTATTTCTGGAGGAGGCTTACAACAGAATGTCATCTACTTTTCCAGCCTCTCCTTCAATCAATCAATCTCTCTCTGTCTTTCTATGTCTCTCTCTGTCTCTCTCTCTCTCTCTTTCTCTGTGTGTGTGTGTGTGTGTGTGTGAGAGAGAGAGAGAGAGAGAGAGAGAGCGAAAAGTGAGAGAGAGAGAGTAGCAGAAGCAGGTAATTAACCTCTGGAAAAAATAACATTGCAACAGATTTGATTTGCAGAGGTTTCATTTCTCACTGAGCCTCTGTTGGAATGATGCCAATTGAAAGGAATCCCAGCTTTTAATGGCTCCAAGTCTTCTGAGAGTTCTCAGTGATGTTATTTTCTTTGGAGAAGAACATCAGAATCATTTATAAAATCCTGTGTTCACCCATGCCATTTGTTCTGTAGAGAAAGGATCTGTCATATCTTTAAGATGATCGCTAAGATGATATAAAAGTAAGGGAATTCATCAAATTTTAGTTTAGAAATCATTAATGCAACTTTCAACTGCTCAGGTTAGTTTGTCTTGAGGGCCTGAAAGCCTCCATTTTGATTCAAGATGTCGTAGTTTTATTAGCATTCAGTATAATCAGTAAGTTTGTCATTTCCATGGTTGCAGGGAATATGAGACATTTTGTTATGAATCTAGGATCACAATTTCACAGGACATTCTTTTGAGGAGAAGGTATTAGGTAATAAACAATGGGATGCAAAATAAACAGATATAATCTCTTCAGTTTGTAGATTTTCAGGTGACAGTGAGGTGACAGAAGAGGATTTGTATAGCTTAGGAAATAAATAATTATTATATATAACATGATGGAGATATTTTAGTGTAGTACCACTATCAAATTAATTTTATCTTCTTAACTGGCTTCTTTCACTGTATACAGGGACTCTACATTAAAGTAGTCTTTGTAGATATCCAAATAGCTTTAGTTTTCTCTAATTACATCATATTGCTAGTCTTATTTCAGAATCCATTGCAGGAACTGCAGTAGAAAAGTAGCTATCATTGCCTCGTAAATAAAATTATTTAATTTTGAGATTTTCTTGCGAAGGAAAAGCCAATTTTTCAGAATCCGTGGAGTTGATTCTGACTTTAGTTACTTGGGACAATATAGTGTATTTAAAATATAAATAAATAAATAAAAATTTTCCTATAAGGAATAACTTTGACTTGCCATGATGCATATTGTTTTTCTGTTGTTGTATCACAATTGAGAGCATTAGTTTCAGAGATAATACTTTGTCAGTACAGGTTGAATATCCATAATCCAAAAATTCAAAATCAGAAGTGCTCCAAAATAAACTTTTTGGGTGCCAACATGTGCCACAAGTGGAAAATTCTACACATAAGTACATAATACAAACTTTGTTTCATGCACAAAATTATTTACAATAGTATATAATTACCTTCAGGCTGTGTGTATAGAGTGTATGTGAAACACTGATGAATTTTGTGTTTAGACTTGGTTCCCAGTCCCAAGATATCTTACTGTGTATATACAAATGTTCCAAAATACAAAAAAATTAAAAATAAAAATGAAACACTTCTGGCCTCCCAAGCATTTTGGGTAAGTGATACTCAACCTGTACCATTGTTAGGATAATATACTTTGTACCATTGTTAGGATAATATACTTGTACCTTGGTTGCATTTTAGTTGCAATTGTTAGTTGCGCAATTTGGGGGAAAGTTTGAGGTCTCTATAGTAGTTACTGTATTTACCAAGAAGCCCTGCATGATTAGAATTCTTGAGATAGTGTATAAAGGTAAATTGGATGTGTTGCCTGGATGTGAACAGTAAAAAAGGAGAAGCTTCTTACCATACAATTATAGCTTTAAATAATACAAGGTACAATTCTGTTTCCAAAAATAGAAAATAAGTCAAATATTATATGGATATGTAATAGTAATTATATTAATTTTGACTCCCTGGCTGATTCTTTTTTTTTTTGAAGCTATCATTTTTTCACAGATAAAAAGTAGCTTTTAAAGGAAAAGATATGTCAGCCCTTAATTGTGTGTGTGTGTATTTATTTCTGTATTTTTGCCTTTGTAAGAGAGGAGCTGGAAGGGAACTGAAGGAGGATGATATAGAGAAAAGAGCCTGGGTTTTGGTGTGTCAGATTTGTTCTGTTACTAGCTGAGAGACCTTGGACAAATTTACCTCTCTGATTAGCAGTTTAATTTTCTCATCTGTAAAAATGGGAATAATACCTACTTTGCAGAATTGTCATGAAGATTAAATGACAGTGTGTGTAAGTACCTAGCACATAGTAATAAAGAGGTCAGTGGGCCGGGCGCAGTGGCTCACACCTGGAATCCCAGAACTTAGAGAGGCTGAAGTGGGCAGATCACCTGAGGTAAGGAGTTTGAGACCAGCCTGGCCAACAGGGTGAAATCTTGTCTCTACTAAAAAATACAAAAATTATCCAGGCATGGTTGTGGGTGCCTGTTAGCCCAGCTACTTGGGAGACTGAGGCAGGAGGATTGCTTGAACCCTGGAGACAGAAGTTGCAGTGAGCCAACATGGTGCCATTGTACTCCAGCCTGGGCTACATAGTGAGACTCCATCTCAAAAAAAAAAAAAAAAAAAGGAAAGAGGTCAGTAAGTTATAGTAGCTATTATTGTTTAGACCTCAGAAATTGGCGAGGGTTTCCTAAAACTTTTATCTATGCTTATAAAATCATTTTGAATTCATATATTTTTAACAGCTGTTGCTAAGATAGTTTTTGTCCCTTGCTGTGATA